CTTGTAGCCTTTCCCCTGTGCCTTTTTCTCCTATTTTTATTTTACTGACGTTGCACATGGCCTTTTTTCAGAAGACGAGAGTAGCTTCGCATATGCAGAGTACTAGTGTTTGTCGGCCTGACAACGTCTTCATACTTGTGATTTTCCTTGCTTTAGGACGGGATTCCAGACTAATCAATAGTTGCTTCAATTCAGAAAAGCAAAACCCTAACCGTACTCAAAAATTTCAGACCAAGGAATCCAGATAATACCAGATGGGTCTTAAAGCCGTGTTGCTGCGGGATAAAAAGCCGCTTAATCCGGGATCGTTTTCGGGTCATTTTATTGAGCGCCGCCTCGCAGGGCTCAGAGCAGTTCCTGTTAAATTGGACCAATGGGGTCGCGCTGCGCGCTGCGGCCCTGCCCGCGGCCCGGGCCTACATTTCCCCGCAGGCACTGCGGTGCGGGGCCGGCCGGCGGGAAGACTCCGTTACCCAGCGAGCGCGGCGGCGGCGCACGGCCCTAGGACTCCATTTCCCGTCGGCCCGCGGAGGGAGCGCCGGAAGCCCGCCCCGCCCCTCATTGTGCGGCTCCTACTAAACGGAAGGGGCCGGGAGAGGCCGCGTTCAGTCGGGTCCCGGCAGCGGCTGCAGCGCTCTCTTCTTCTGCGGCTTTCGGTGTCCTCTCCTTTTCGCTTCCGGAAACATGGTGAGCGGCAGGCCACGGCGCCCAAGGGAGGCGGCTGCGGGTCGGTCGCCTGCGCACGGGAGGCGACGGGGGAGCGATGTCCGCACCCCCTCCCCCAGCGCTCCGGGCGGGATGAGGGTCTCGCACGGAGGGGCGGGCGGTACCGGAATGCGCGTGCGCGCCCGGGGGCGCCGGGGAGGGCCGGCCTGGACGTCGCTTGCGCGCTCCCTGGGCTCCTCTCCCCTCCCCCACCCGCTGGTGCGCCCGCGCGGACGGACAGCGGCCGCGGGGGGAGGGGTCTGGGTCGCGCGCCGGCGCGCCCCTCGCGGAACGGCCGGCGTTGTGCGTTGTTTCTTAGGGGCGCGCTCTCGACTGGAGCACGCGGTGTCCAAACCCGGCCCGGGGGCGGCGAGGGAAAAGCGCGCGAGAGGTCTCGGCGCGCGCGCCCCACCCAAGGCTGTTCCTGTCTCCGCGTCACCCTCCCTCGGCAGCCGGGTCCGTCTCGGGAGCAGGTGGCAGAGATGCCTGCGTCGGGGAGGGGCGGGCGCTGTCGCGGCGAGGGGGGATGCTGGGACAACAGAGTCCTGGTTGGGGCATGGGTGCCTGCGATTAGGGCCTTGCACCGCAAGGCTTGGACGGGGCATCGCAGAGACCGTGGCCGGCTCTGGAGCGCACCCCATCGAGCTGCGTTCTCACCCGTGCATCGTGCGAGGGCTGGAACCGCGCTGTCCGCCGGCGGGTGCGCGCACTCTCAGGCCCGGCCGCCGGTGTCGAAGCTCTGGGCGAGCGGGGCCTTCCCGGATGGGCCTGAGGGTGGAGCCGAGTTTAGGGAAGTGACCCAGGCGGGCACCGCCCGGAAACCATCCCGCCCCCTGCATACGGCCAGAGGGCTGAGAAAACCAAAGGTTGAGTAGCTTGCCCAGGCTCCTGCCCGCCGCAGATGGGTCTGATTTGCCCGTTGATTAAGGCGATTCCACAGGGTTAGGGACCTGTAGAGGCTACTGCCTTTAGGGTACGCGTTTCTCTACTGGGGAGGGGGCCGAGCGTAGCCGATCGCCTTTCCCCGCCCATTCCGGAAGCGGCTGGGTCACGTGGCCAGTTTCCTCTGCAGTTCCGGGGAGATTTACCGTGGTCAGTCCTTCCGTCTCCTGTCTCAGGCACCCTGAAGCACGGTGCAGAGTAGGAGTTTAAAGAGCTCTCGAGGCCTCTGGGCACTTGAGTTTGGCATGTCAGTTTCTACTAGCGACTTCTGGGGCCCATTCCCAGAAGAAAGAAGTTGTCGGGCAGGGTCCTTAGTGGGGGTTGTGATTCTTGTTTTGGTTGGGAAAGACCATAGCAGGGAACAGGCGTCGTTTGTGTAGTAACTGCATTAAGCAGTTCTGGTGGATTTGTTGCAACTGTTCAGTGTCCTTGGGTTTCATCTAGCATTGTGGGGTCTCGGCTCTTGCTGAAGAGGAGTCTTGCTTCGGGTATTTGGGTCCTCCTATCTGTGAAGTTCGAGGTCACCACTTTTATCTAAAGGCTGAGAGCAAATACTGTGAGTAGCCAGTAGATCTTTTAATTCTGGGTCCACATCTCGGTCAAGGCTCTGATTTTCACGAGTTTTCTATTTCCTGTAAAATAAGGGAAGGGGTTGTTGAACTAGGTGATCAGAAGCCATGGCTGCCGTTCTGGGGTTGTGTCCCATCTGGTTCTTTGACAGTGGCCTGGGTAGGGAACACCAGTGACTTGCCCTGGGAAGGGCACTAGTGCCGGGTGCGGACTGAGAACTGAGAAAACAAGGGGCGATTCCCTAGAATCCTTTTTTTGAGGACGGATATGTGGCATGTCTCCTAGGCCTCTGGTGTGGCTGTCTCTGATGGAGTCATCAAGGTGTTCAATGACATGAAGGTGCGTAAGTCTTCAACGCCAGAGGAGGTGAAGAAGCGCAAGAAGGCTGTGCTCTTCTGCCTGAGTGAGGACAAGAAGAACATCATCCTGGAGGAGGGCAAGGAGATCCTGGTGGGCGATGTGGGCCAAACTGTCGATGACCCCTATGCCACCTTTGTCAAGATGCTGCCAGATAAGGACTGCCGCTATGCCCTTTATGATGCAACCTACGAGACCAAGGAGAGCAAGAAGGAGGACCTGGTGTTTATCTTCTGGTGAGCTCTTCTTCATTCTGGCACTTCTGTCACCTTCTCCCTTTTTCATCTGGGGCTCCAGAGGTGTGGGTTTGGGGTAGGGGTTGTAACAAAAGACTCCTAACTGCCAGCCCAAGGGTTTCTTAAAGTCACCTACGGCTTTGCTGTTGCTGTGAGTTGCCTGATGCATCTTTCTGTTCAGGGCTCCTGAGTCTGCGCCCCTTAAGAGCAAAATGATCTATGCCAGCTCCAAGGACGCCATCAAGAAGAAGCTGACAGGTAAGGGCCAGCATTGGTACTGAGTGCCCTTCTGCTCTGGCCTTGGCTGCAGGGTAGGGTGAATGGCACTCAGAGGGGGTCCGCTCCCTTGTCTTCGCCACCTGCTTGTTCCTTCCATCTGCTTTGATTGGCTCATTCCCAACCACAGAAACTGCCCCCACCCCAGTGCTTCCTGCTCACAGATGCTCCCCCTTCTTCCCTACAGGGATCAAGCATGAATTGCAAGCAAACTGCTACGAGGAGGTCAAGGACCGCTGCACCCTGGCAGAGAAGCTGGGGGGCAGTGCCGTCATCTCCCTGGAGGGCAAGCCTTTGTGAGCCCCTTCTGGCCCCCTGCCTGGAGCATCTGGCAGCCCCACACCTGCCCTTGGGGGTTGCAGTCTGCCCCCTTCCTGCCAGACCGGAGGGGCTGGGGGGATCCCAGCAGGCGGAGGGCAATCCCTTCACCCCAGTTGCCAAACAGACCCCCCACCCCCTGGATTTTCCTCCTCCCTCCATCCCTGACGGTTCTGGCCTTCCCAAACTGCTTTTGATCTTCTGATTCCTCTTGGGTTGAAGCAGACCAAGTTTCCCTGAGGCCTCCCAGTTGTGGGGGGAGCCTGTATTTTTTTTAACAACATCCCCAATCCCCACTTGTTCCTCCCCCTTCCCATGCTGCCAACTTCTAACCGCAATAGTGACTCTGTGCTTGTCTGTTTAGTTCTGTGTATAAATGGAATGTTGTGGAGATGACCCCTCCCTGTGCCGGCTGGTTCCTCTCCCTTTTCCCCTGGTCACTGCTACTCATGGAAGCAGGACCACTAAGGGACCTTCGATTAAAAAAAAAAGACAATAAAAAGACTCATTAATGAGATGTGTGTTTCAAGGTTGGGGCCCAGGAGACCTTAGGGAAGTGGGGTTCACTGGGAAAATGGTACTATCTCTATTCTCTGTACCCCATGCCCAACCAGCCGTTACACACCCTTATCTGGTTTGTGACTGGCTGAAACGCTCTTCCAATGTACACCATTATTTCTGTTGGTGCTGTGATTGATGCCAGACTGGCTGTTGAAGGAGTGGGTGTGTCTGCTGCTGGCTGCAGGGGTTCTCCAGCAGAAGTAATTTATGCCTGAATTGGCTGCTCTGTAGCTTTGCCTGGTTGGGCAATGAGGTCCATCTGATACTCTGTTCTGTCCCCTGCCTGGGTGTGGGCTGATAGGCACGTCACAGGTATCTGTAAGGTTCGGTTTGGTCTTGTCTTCCCTGGATGGCTGACTCAAATTTATGAGGGTCAGGTCCAGTGGCTGCTGTGAGTAAGAGGCCAAGTTGAGCCTTTGACCTGTAGATGTGGCTGGAGTCCGTTGAGGGTGGAGCCACCCAGGTGGAGCCCAGGACTTCAGACCCAGGTGTCTTAAGCACCGCCTCCCTATGTTTAACCAAGAGGGTGTTGCCGGTGCCTTTTGCCAGCATTGCCATGGGCTGTTTTCCAGCTTGTACTTTGGGCTTTCACCTGCCCAGCAGGCAAAGACATCCAAGAAGTCTGGCCCTAGGAGTGAGGTGAATTTGGAGTGCTAATATGGGGTCTATATCTCCTCCCTAGTCACCTGAACTGAGAAGGGAGGCTGCATCCTGACTTAGAGCTGGCGCCTTAACTCCTGGAAGCTCATGAGTGGTTCTGGGAGGAAGGACTAGGTCCTTTTTCTGGTTAGGAAACAGGTGTGGAGAACTTGGGATTCATCTTGGTGCTAGGGTTTATAGGGGTGGGGGCAAACCGGGAAGACTGTTCTGGGTGTCTTGCCTTCCCACAGGGAGCCTGCTGCCACTGGAGAGAGGGCTGAGGATGCTGCAGGGGTGCCCTCTGTGGTATCCCCAGGTTCTGATCTTGATACTGCCTTGGCAGAGGGTGTGCCTGGTGGACCCTTGAGCTGTGGGAAGTAAGGACAACAGGCCCCCTTGCTGCAAAACCAGGGTTTTTATTTGTGAAGGAGAACAGGCTGGGATCAAGTGAGCTGTGATTCCTTCAAGGCCACGGGTGAGGGTAGAGGCTGTCCTTCAGCCTGGTGGTGGGGGGATGTCAGGGTCCCTGGGGCTCTGCTGACCTGTGGCCAATTATAATGCCCATGCTGCCCTGTGTCTTGCAGGGCCTGGCACCTTTGGTGGTGGTGGGGTAGCGGGTTCGGGCTTTCCCTGGGAGGATGTGGGGCAGAGTGACGATGTGGCTAGTGGCACTGTGCTAGGGAAGGAGACATCTTGCTGGAGAGGGGTCTGGGATACCCCCGTTACTAGAGATCCCAGAGCAAGGTCTGGCTGCTCTAAGGTTCCCCCTTTAGGGCCACAAGGGTGTTCCGGAGAATCAGGGTGCTGGCCTGCAGAGGAGAAACAGGTCCTTGAAGTCCCCTGCTCTCTAAGTCAGTGCCATTCTTTCTGCACGTTAGATGCCCCCTTCCTCCCCACGCCTCCGCTCTCTGCAATAACAGGTGCGGTTAACTGGGGCTTCTTACCAAGAAGGTAAGGGTCCTGAGCCTTAGCTGGGGCTACTCTCATGGATGGCCCCTCCTCACACCATGTGCGTGCACACATGCACATGCATGCACACACCCACATATGCGCACACCTGCGTACACACATGCACGTATACCCTCGTGCCTGTGGGGGGAGGGAGGTTGGAGGTGGGAGGCGTGACAAGGGCCCGTGAGGGTGGGAGGGCTCACCTTGGCATGTTTGAGCTCCAGCTCTGCCAGCTCAATGAGATTCTTTCGAAAAGAGGAGACCCGGCGGGACTTGAAGTCCATGAGCTCTGGAGAGGAGGGGAAGGGGCATGGGGCCCTGGGCTGGGCAGGACAGGTGGCTCCAGGCTGGGGACTGCGGGCTCACCTTGCTTGGCAGAGTCGGAGAGGCGCTCGAAGCGTTGGCAGCACAGCTGCTGGTGGCTCTCGGCGGGCCGAACCTCCCGGTTCCTGGTGCGTGCCTTGTCCAGCGCCTTGTTGGCATTCTCATAGTCAGCCAGTGCCCGCAGCCGCCGGTATAGCAGGTCCTAGAACCATGGGCACAGGGTCACTGCTGCCCTGTCCTGGTCTCCAGGCGTGAGCACTGCTCTGGGGCTGCCTCTCACCTTGGCTGCCTGTGAGTCGCGCATGTAATACCTCAGCATGTCTGACAGCTTCAGGTCCTCATCGGAAGCCACCCGGCCCTCCAGCTTCTGCATCAGAAAGTGGGCACTGGGAAGGGAGCTTGTCAGAGGGGCAGCTAAAGGGTGGGAGGCACCTCTTCATCTAAATATCCAGCAAAGAAGCCTTAGGTAACTGCTCCAGGTCAGACTTGGTGTTCAGGGGAGCAGGCCAGGGAAGGCTTCACAGAGGAAATGGCATCTAGTCTGGATCTTGGGGACTAAGTAAAAGCCAGACAGAGGGAGCTGAGAGCTTGGCAGCTGTGCAAGCCTGGATTAAGCCTGGGTTCAGGGAGGGCACTTGGGCAGAGCAGGGAATGGAGGCAGAGGCTGGAGCACAAGAGGCTGAAAATGGAAGCTCGGGACTTTGGGCTTTGGGGCTTGGGGAGCTTCCAAAAGAGGCAGGGTCCCTGAAGGGCCTTGAGCAGGAAGAAATGCAGTCTAACAGACATTTTGGGAAGATGGAGACACTCCAGTGACTTTCTTGGGGAAAGGGGGGAAGTGTGTACCCGGGCAGTGTGCTGGCAGCTGGGTGCAGCCTGCCAGAGGTTTGGACACACCCTGTGCCTCCCACCGGTCCCCTGCCACGTGTGTGTGCGCGCGCGCGCACACACACACACACACACACACACACACACACACACGGCTGGATTCTCGTTTTCACCCCACCTCTTACTAAACTAGTCTGGAGTGTGAGCCCAGCTTGCCAGTGGGCCCAAATTATCACTGAACATCCCAAGATGATCCTGGAGCTCTTCCTCTGCAGGACTCATCTTCCCTCCAAAGCTCACCAGGAAAGAGAAGGCAATACTTACCCTCAGCCGTTCAAAGAGCTCTGCCAATTTGAGGAAGCTCCTAGGAAACAGTGGGGAGGAGTTAGGGTTGGGGGCTGAGACACAGCTCAGAGCTCTCTGCCTCAGCCTCTCCTCAGGAATCTCCCTCTCCCCTTTCCCTCCCAACACCCTCCCCCAACAAGAGCCTACACCTCCCACCTACAGCTGACAGTAGACATCTACAGAGTGACCCCTCATGGGAAGACATGGTATTACAGGCATTGGGAGAGGGTAGAGGTGGGAGGAGTCCTCACGTCCTTAGCTGGTTGACTTCCTGTGTTCCCAGACTGCTCAGTGCAGCTGAGATAGGGATATAATCGTCTGCCAGGCCTGTTGGGGAACAACCCCCATCAGAGCCCCTACATCTGCATGTCAAGCTCTGGTGCTTGTGGCATGCCCTGCTCTCTTCTCTCCCCCAAGGAGTTGAACCGCTGGGGAGAGGGGCAGGGGGATCCAGGACCCCTTGGGCCCTGCGTACACTTGTGGGAGCGCATGACGCGGTCGGCCCGCAGGCAGGCATCTCGGATACGGGTGTGATACTCCAACAGGAAGGTCCTCTCATGCTCAAAGAAGTCATCCACCTCCTAAGGGAGCCAGGCAGGAGCCCATTGACACTGGGTCACCAAGGAGCTTGGCAGCACAGGCACCCGGGGTTGGCGAAATCTCTTTCTAATCCAGGCCAGGCCCCACCACTGGCTTCCCTCCCACAGCCAGCCTGGGCCTCTGTCTGTGCTGTGGACTTGAGGCACTGGGTTGAATCTAGAGAGGAGCCCCGAGGGTTACCTTGAGCCCTGACATGCCAGTGATGAGGGCTTCATCCGCGGACTTCACGATATTCCTCAGGAACCCTCCCAGGAGCTCCTTCCTATTCTTCCCCCGGACACTCAGCTGAGGCACACAAGGAGGGTGTGATGGCGGGGTGGGCGTTCTCGCCTCCCAGCCCATGTCACAAGCCACTCACGGAGCTGAGACACAGGCTTGGGCCCACTTGGGCCGCTTGTCCAGCCCTGCCAACCCTGGGTGCCTCCCGACCCACGCTAGACTCCTGCCCCAGGGGTGATTTTAGGGATTCGGCCCAGCTCACATCCTGTCCATATTCCAAAAAAACAAAGAAGTTGTGGTCTCGGCGCAGGGTGGGGTGGGCCGCCAGGCGCTGCAGAAAGACTTCGTGCATCGCAACTGTCTTCTTAAAGATGGCCAGGTACTCCCTGCGAGAGCAGCAGCGGCTCACAGGCCCTGCTCAGCTCCCATCATCCTGCCTGTCCCCTTTCTGGGGTCAGAGGTCAGGGTTGCTAAATATTCATTGGGGGAATAGCTGGGGAAGACAGCTGGGCTCTGGGCATAGCGGGGAAAAGAGGTGGCACTCACGCTTCCAGCTCCTGCTTCATCTTGGCAAACTCTTCCCGAGTGACAGAGCTGTCCCCCTCACCCAGTTTCTGCAGCTTTTCTCTCGAAGCCTCAAAGTCTGGCCTTGGAGGGGCTGGGGGGATCTGCTCAAAGGAGGGACAGAGCTGGGAGGCCTCTCACTGCCGAGGCGGCCGTCACAGCCTTTGGTCCTCACCCAGTGCTCTGCCTGTCCCTCCCAGCCCCTGCCCAGCCCCTCCTCACAATGAGGCCGGCGTACTCCTCGTTCTCCACGTAGGCGTCATGCAGCCAGATGAACTCCTCGTGCTGCCGCACGACTGAGAACTCAGTCTGGGCGAAGTGAGGGAGGCAGCTCTGGAGGCAGGAAGGCCGTCTGAGGTCCCTCTCTGCCCCAAGCCCTGCCTCAACAAGTCTCCTGGGCACCTACTTTTGGGTCCCCCTCATCCCACTTTCCAGGGAGGACCCAGTTAGCGCTCAGGTGTCCATGATTTCATTCAGAATGGTGGGCAGGGATGATTAGGACTCAGGGCCTCAGGCAAAGACACCCAGAGCCTAGCCAAGATGCTCACTTTCTAGAAGGGACTGAGGGCAAGTGCTAGGTGGAGGAACAGGGCCCGCAGGCTGTGTTGGCACATGTCTACCACCCCTGGGGGAGGCCTCCTGCAGGCAGCCACCAGCACCTTTCCTCGAGGCCCGCACTGCCTCACCTTGGTTTGAACAGTGAATTTCACCTTGTCCCGCTCACTCACTGCGTCAGAGATCTCCACCTGTAAGGAGCTGTCTCCCTGCAGTTCCACCAATGCGCAGGAAGGCTGTGGAGGAAAGGAGGTCTCTGGCCTGGCTGAGCATGGCCCCTTTGCCCTTCCTTGCCCTGCAGGCCTGGTCCACCTGCAGAGCCGTCTTCAGCCGCACTGCTTCCACAATGCCCCAGGTCACCAGAGAGGGGTCCTGATAAGGCACTGACCTGAGCTTGGGAACTGCCAAAACATTTTAACACTCCCATCCTTGGAGGCAAGCAGAATGCTTCCCATTTTACAGATATTGAAGCTGAGACCACCAGAGAGGTAAAGTAATTTGTCTAAGGTTATGCAGCTGCAAAGCAACAGTACCAGATTGAAACCCAGTTTTTTGTTTTGTTTTGTTGTTTGTGTTTTTTAAGATGGAGTCTTGCTCTGTGGCCCAGGCTGGAGTGCAGTGGCACCATCTCAGCTCACTGCAACCTCCGCTTCCTGGGTTCAGGCAATTCTCCTGCCTCAGCCTCCCGAGTAGCTGGGATCACAGAGGTGCACTACCACGCCAGGCTAATTTTTGTATTTTTAGTAGAGACGGGGTTTCACCATGTTAGCTAGCCTGATCTCAAACTCCTGACCTCAGGTGATCCACCTGCCTCAGCCTCCCAAAGTGCTGGGATTACAGGCGTGAGCCACTGCGCCGGGCGCAACTCAGTTTCTTAATTCCCAACCCCATGCTCTTTCTCAGTTACTTGCCCACCTCTTCCCCAGCTGGCTTCCTCAGGCATCCCTTAACCAAGGCTTCAAGTGAGTTGGATGAGATGTTCCCACCTCTTCTGGTGGGGTTGCCAAAACCATTCCATTTACTACTTTTGGTGCCAAGAGGCAACAGCTTACATGCAAAGCATGTGTATTTCTCCAAGTAAAAAGGTCCACGAGACACTGAGCTACTAGCTTGTTCTTGCATTGAGCTGTTCAACATTTATTTATTTATTTATTTTTGAGACAGGGTCTTGCTCTGTCACTCAGGCTGTAATGCAGTGGTGCCATCATAGCTCACTGCAGCCTCGAACCCCTGGGCTCCAGTGATCATCCTGCCTCAGCTTCCCGAGTAGCTGGGACTACAGACACGTACCACCATGCCCAGCTATTTTTTTTTTTTTTTTTAGAGACAGGGTCTTACTATGTTGCCCAGGCTGGTCTCCAACTCCTGGGCTCAAACAATCCTCCCACCTTAGCCTTCCAAAGGGCCAGAAGCAACATGCATTTATTGAATACCTACTGTGTCCACATCATTGTGCCAAGTGATATTAGGGGGAAGGGAAGAGGCTTAGGAATCACTCTGTCTTTCAGCATTGCTCACCAGTATACAAAAGGCACCTCTCCCACCTCTCAATCTGGAGGCCTCCTCACTCTCTCCTCTCTCTGGTTTTGGCACACTTTGGAGATGGTCCCTGAGATGGCGCTTGATGGTATGTGGGTCCAGAAACAGGTCGGCCCCTGCCTGATGGTGGCCCATCTGCAGCTGGTTTAGTGATGTCTCCTCCCTGGGTGGAGATGCCCGAATCTCTCCCCTCCTCCTGGCTGTCCAGCATAAAGGAATTGACCCTAAGGTTGCTGGTCACTGTTGACAGGGTTATCTCTACAGTGTTTCTTGCCATTTTGCCATTTTTTTTTTTTTTTTTTTTTTTGGTAGAGTCTCGCTCTGTCACCCAGGCTAGAGCGCAGTGTCATGATCTTGGCTCACTGCAAACTCTGCCTCCCGAGTTCAAGCGATTTTCCTGCCTCAGCCTCCTGAGTAGTTGGGATTACAGGTGCGCACCACTACTGGCTGGTTTTTGTACTTTTAGTAGAGTCGGGGTTCTGCTGTGTTGGCCAGGCTGGTCTTGCACCCGCCTGCCTCAGCCTCCCAAAGTGCTGGGATTATAGGCGTGAGCCACCACACCTGGTCCCCCCCTTTTTTTAAATTGAGGCATAAGTTACAGGAAAGTGCACAAATTTTAAGTGTAAAGCACCAATTAATTTGTAGATATATATACAGCTAGATAACCATCACCCATTCAGATCATGATATATATTTTCTTTACTTATTTGGAGACAGAGTCTTGCTCTGTCACCCAGGCTGGAGTGTGGTGGCACCACCACAGCCCACTGCAGCCTTCATATCCTGGGCTCAGGCAATCCTCCTGACTCAGCCTTCCTAGCAGCAAGGACCGCAGGCGTGTACCACCATGTCCAGACAATTAAAGAAAAATTTTTTTTGCCGGCTGTGGTGGCTCACACCTATAATCCAAGCACTTTGGAGGCCAAGGCAGGCGGATCACCTAAGGTTGGGAGTTCAAGACCAGCCTGACCAACATGGTGAAACCCCGTCTTAAAAAAAAAAAAAAAATTAAAGTTCTGTAATCCAGCACTTTGGGAGGCCAAGGCAGGAGAATCGTTTGAGCCCTGGAGTTCAAGACCAGTTTGGGCAACATGGTGAGACACCCTCCAACCCCGCCTCCACAAAAAACCCCCAACAATTGGCCAGTCGTGGTGACTCACACCTGTAATCCCAGCACTTTGGGAGGCTGAGGCGGGCAGATCACAAGGTCAGGAGATTGAGACCATCCTGGCTAACATGGTGAAACCCCGTCTCTACTAGAAAAAAAAAAAAATTAGCCAGGTGTGGTGGTGGGCACCTGTAGTCCCAGCTACGTGGGAGGCTGAGGTAGGAGAATCGCTTGAATGTGGGAGGGGAGGTTGCAGTGAGCCAAGATCGTGCCACTGCACTCCAGCCTGGGCCACAGAGCAAGACTGCGTCTCAAAAAAAAAAAAAAAAAAATTAGCTGAGTGTGGTCACATGCTTGTGGTTCCAGCTACTTGGGGGGCTGAGGTGGGAAGATTGAGCTTGGGAGGTTGAGGCTGCAGTGAGCCAGGACCTTGCCACTGCACTTCAGCCTCCAGCCTAGGTGACAGAGTGAGAAAGTGTCTCAAAAAAAAAAAACAACAATTATCCCCCACCCCAGAAGTGACCGCCATTCTGACTTCTATCACCATATATTATTCTAGCCTATTCTTTTTTTTTGAGACCAAGTCTCACTCTGTCGCCCAGGCTGGAGTGCAGTGACATGATCTCAGCTCACTTCAACCACTACCCCCCAGGCTAATGGGATTCTCCTGCTTCAGCCTCCTGGCGAGTAGCTGGGATTATAGGCGCCCACCACCACACCCCAATAATTTTTTTATTTTAGTAGAGACAGGGTTTTCACCATGTTGGCCAGGCTGGTTTTGAACTCCTGACCACAGGTGATCTGCCCGCCTCGGCCTCCCAAGGTGGCATGAGCCACTGAGCCCAGCCCATTCTGGCCTATTCTTGAACTTCCCAGAAATGCAATTATGCGTTATGTATTCTTTTGTGCCCCCATTCTTTAGAGAGTTCTATGTTGTTGAGAGGAGAAGCAGTTGTTTTCATTCCTGCGTCTTATTTCATTTTATGATTATATCACAATGTATGTATCCACTCTACTGTTGATGGTCATTTGGATTATTTCAAGTTTTTGGCTATTATGAATAAAGCTGCCATGAACAATCTTTTTTAAAATTTTTACTTTTCTTCCATTTTTTAAGCAGGGGGGTGTTCTCGCTATGCTGCCCAGGCTGGTTTGAACTCCTGGCCTCAAGCCATCCTTCCACTTTAGCCTCCCAAAGAGATGGATTACAGGTGTGCACCCCCGTGTCTGGCTTCCATGAAAATTGTTGCAGACGTTTTTTGAGGCCCTTTTTTTTTTTGAGACAGGGTCTTGCTGTGTCACCCAGGCTAGAGCGCAGTGACGTGATCTTGCTCAAGGCGACCTCTGCCTTTCAGGTTCAAGCCATTCTCCTGCCTCTGCCTTCTGAGTAGCTGGGATTACAGGTGCCCACCACCATGCCTGGCTAATTTTTGTAATTTAGTAGAGATAGGGTTTCTCTACATTGTCCAGGCTGCTCTCGAACTCCTAACCTCAAGTGATCCGCCCACCTTGGCCTCTCAAAGTGTTAGGATCACAGGTGTGAGCCACCACCCCCAGTCGTCTTTTGAGGACTTTTGACCTAAGTCCCCATTTCTGTTGGGTATGAGAATTGCTTGGTCACAGGGAAGGCATATTGCATGTTTAAAACGCTTTAGTAAATACTGCCAAACAATTTTCTAAGGTGATTAAACCAATTTACACTCCCAGCAGCACTGTGCATGAAAGTTCCAGTTGTACTACATCCTTGCCAATACTTAAGAATTGTTAGTCATTTTTATCTTTTTCTTTCTCCCTTTTCTTTTTTTGAGACAGAGTCTCGCTCTGTCACCAGGTGCCAGGCTGGAGTGCAGTGGTGAGATCTTGGCTCACTGCAACCTCCACCTCCCAAGTTCAAGCAATTCTCCTGCCTCAGCTTCCCGAATAGCTGGGACTACAGGTGCTTGCCACCACACCCAGCTAATTTTTGAATATTTTGGTAGAGACAGTTTTACCATGTTGGCCAGGATGGTCTCAATCTCTTGACCTCGTGATCCACCCGCCTTGGACTCCCAAAGTGCTGGGATTATAGGAATGAGCCACCATGCCTGGCCTCTTTTTTGTTTTTAAAGAAACAAGAGTCCTGCTAATGTTGTCCAGGTTGGCCTTGAACTGGGCTCAGGCGATCCTCTGGAGTAGCTGAGAGTTGCTTTTGTGTGCACATGTCAATTGACCTACTAAGTATGATAAACTTTGGACTCTCTACTCTGTTCCATTGGTCGATATGTTTGTCCTTATGATAATATCTCACTGTCCTGATTACTGTAACCTGACAGGTAAGACTTGAAATCCGATAGTGTAAGGGCTCCACCTTTATTCTTTTTTTCCAAAATAATTCTGGCTATTATACATCATTTGCATTTCTGCACATATTCTGCTTGTTAATTTCTACCCCTAAAAAACGTACTGGGATTTTGATTGTGATTGTGTCGAATATATAGATGAATCTGGGCACACACCACTGTGACAGCTCAGAGTTGTTACTCTTTTTTACTTTTGCCCTGTTAGTCCAGACCTGGGGAGTGTCACTGGTGCTACCTGGTGAGGAATGAT